TCTTATTTTGATGTTTTGAGCTCTTTTGCGTTTAGAACAACATATACTAATTTTTATAGTATCAGATTGAATTTTTGTTCAATAAAAATCTTTCAAATGCGACTGTAGTTTTTTTTCCCCCAAAGACTTTGTCTTCAAAATAAGGGTGCGTCTTATACACCGGTGCATCTTATATTCCGAAAAATACGGTATATGAAAAGTAGCAGCATGGATAAACTATTCATATATATAACTATCAATAGATACTAAACTTCGCAAATCTCCCAATTCATTTGAAGTTTGCTCATGGGGTTAATTTCTGATGGCCATAAAAATGTCAGTCAGGAGTTAGTAATTATACTTCTTTCATGCGATTAAATTATTTAATTATAACTTATGATCTGTATGTTACTTGTTTGCCATTTCTATGCATTAAGCACTGACTGAACGCAGCAGAAAAAGGTCAAGAGGCTGCGATGTTCGTCGAGTTAATTTTTCACTGCTATCTTACAGTAACCAGAAGCTTATTTAAGAACATTAAATCGCGTTATTTTGTTTATTTGAGACCGTAAAATGCACAGGGCATTCATATCACGTGATTTCATTTGAAGTTACTTTTATCTTTAATACCAACCAAGAGCTTGAGAATGACTCAAGAAACAATTCAGATGACTCATTTTAAGTTACTTTTATCTTTAATACCAACATGTGGTTAACAAGACATCTGAATTGTTTCTTGAGTCTTCTCAAGCACTAATTTTAAGTTATTTTTATCTTTAATACCAACATGTGGTTAACCAAGAGCTTGAGAACGACTCAAGAAACAAACCAGATGACTAACTTAAAGTTACTTTTATCTTTAATACCAACCAAAAGCTTGAGAACGACTCAAGAAACAATTCAGATGACTAACTTAAAGTTACTTTTATCTTAAAACCAACATGTAGTTAGCCAAGAATTTGAGGACGGCTCAAGAAACAAACCAGATGACTCATTGTTGAACAAAGGTAGCCCCGATTTTAAACAGAAAAATTAAAATCAACTCAAATAAATTACTTTGCGAGTGTTTTGATGGCAACTTATAAAAGAAAAATAAAACTCAACTAGTGCTAACGAGTTAGACTTCATATACAAACTATAGGACTTAATGTAGACCTCCTATTACATGGATTATTAACTTGCACGCGAGAAAATGCTATAAATCATTTCTCGGTGACATCACAACGTCTGGTTTGGTTGAAATTCTGCAATAAGCAATAATAGTCAGGGCAAACCTTCATATTATCTATATCAGTGAGAATTGATACAAGTGTAAATTTTTAATAAAATTAAAATCAAATGCACTACAATTTATTGTAAATGATTTGTTACAAACCAGGTGTTTACTTGAATTAAAGCAGAAAATTAAAATGTATAAGCAGTACACTCGGAAAAGACTTTTGTCACGGATAAGAACTGTATTTGTATTTTGTATTTATGCCAAAGCTACTCCCGTTCCTAAGTTTTAACTACTGAACAGAATCAGCAGCACTGTACCACCGACGCTAAGGGACTGGCCGCCACTCTTATAACGCACTTAAAGCTTAAAGTACTGGGGATATTTGTAGTATCACAAGAACTCAAACCCGATTCGCCGGCTCCAAACTCCAATACTCTGCTACCCCGTGGCCACCATAATAATTATGTTGAAACCTCCTATGACTTTTTCTTCGTGCCTTTGTAGTAACGTGCTTGTAAAGAAAGTTTGGGTCTAAGATAGTTTTTGTAACATATACACATACTTACACATATATATATGTACATATACTGACATTTAGCTCACAATCTGGCACAACCACAATAAAATAACAAATCAGGAACATCATAGTGATGATATATATATATATATATGTAGAACAATATCTTGATCAAATTATTTTGAAACTAGTCTAATTGTTACGATATATCATAATAGACGTTAGAATTTGATTAATAGTAGTTGTGGGGAGAATTTCCGTCTGTTATTTATTTTGTCCCAACAAATCTCATGATCAGAAAAAATGCAGACAAACAAGGCCCTAAGTGTCAGAATCGCAAATATGGGACCACATTTCTTCGTATGTATTTACAATCCCACTATTCTATTAATAATAACCTTATAGGTGGAGGGTGTTGGTGAATGATAAGTAGTAGTAGGTCCTTATCCTCTGGTAAGCAATTCCAAATAAGGGGTGGCTAAGTCTGAACATGGGATCTCTGACCTGGCCGTTTAGCTCATGTGATGCATGCGGTTGTTTTCATTGTTTCTTATTAAGGGCTATCTGTGCTCTGCCCACCACGGGTATCGAAATTCGGTTTCTAGCAGTAGAAGCCGCAGACATACCGCTGTGGCATTGGGGGGCGACGCAGACGGTACAACTCAGTTTGAAAATACCAATACAAAGGACGTGTTTTAACCTAGAGGCTTTCATTCAAGTCATTGTTTGTTTTATTGTTTTCTGTGATGTGACACGAAATATTGTAAACTCCATAATTTAAATTTCCTTTCCACTACTTATAAACTACCAATGTTGCAACAAATCACAAAATTTGTCACATATGTAACTTACAAATAAATCAGTTACCTGAAAAACATTTTTAGTTTGTCATAACGTTTGTTTTATCAGTGAGAATTTCTTAAAACATTCTATGGCATGATGGCATCTGACTTCAGAACAGGATCTTTTTTTTTCGATTTCTTAGCTATCCAGCTGTTTTTTTTTTTTTCTTTGTTGTTGTTGTTTGTAGATTAAATGCGAATATTATAAAATATGTTCAAAAAGATTAAATTAACAGCATTTGCGCCATTAATAAGGCTTTATACTAGTTTCCTTAAACTTACATAGTAGTTTTCCCACACTTCTCGATGTTTCTTGAATTCCCCTCTTTTTCGATGTAAGCAGCATTAAAAGATTTTGCTATATTTCGTATACCAAAAATCAAAGCAATGCTGACACGTTATATGGTATTTATTGTCACGATGAAAGGCATTTTGCTCCACAAAAAGTTAGCAGTTTTAAAGTACATGTCTAGACTGTCTAAAACACTAACTACACTCAAATGAACCTTGACCAAAGCGGTTTTATCAACACGTCAAGTTATGAAAAAATCTTCGTCATTCTAGTTTTTGATTTTTATAAACAGGTTGTACTATACATTTTGTAGGCTGGATATTCTCCCATTTGAACTTTGCCTAAATGATTGTTGAAGCGTACAACTATTCGTTAAACAATAGCATGTAAATTTGAAAGACCAAGGGATGTGTGTGTGTTTGTTGTCAAGCAGAAAACTACACGAGTTTTAGAGTTATAAGCCAGCCACAGACTTACTGATAAGCTGCAGGGAATTACCAAGAGATACAGTTTCTTCTTTGATATGAAAGTTGAATATCGTTTAATTTAACTTATTTACATATACTAATTCATTTGCATGTCGCCATAGATGTGGCACCATGCGACATGCTTAACACCTATATTTTGGTTCATGGTGAATCCATGACCACTCTACAGAGGTTTATCAAAGTCCTTACCGAGCAATAATATTTGTAAAGCTAGATTGCTAAATGATGTAGAGCCGAAGGGGACAATGTTTTAACTAAAAAGATCCTTCAATGTTCTCTATGGAAATAGCAAAACTTGCATAGCAGAACAATTAGGACAGCAACGGACTCTAAAACCACACCTCAAGCCAATAAGAAGAAACAACGTCTTCTGCAAACACGAAATAGACCCAAATGTGATTTCGATGAAACTGTTCTCCGAGCCCTACTAACAAGATAATATGTAAGAACTTGACGTCGACGAAAGCTCAGAAAACAAAATTTCTTAAGCTTCCATCCAGACCTCGGAGTCGACGGCTGCTTTCATGAGAAAGATAACTGAAGAAGCTAATTCACGGAAATTCCTCCCAATCACCTGGACTTTTGTGCTTTTGGTCTGCTTAAATGTGATCTTGGAAAGTGAGGTCCACAAATAGCGGAGGGGCTGTGGAAAGTTTGTCAAAACGTGTGATCTAAGACTAATCTCGCTTCACACCAAACATACTCGCTCTTTCAGCCGTGGGGGCGTTATAACGTGGCGGTCAATCCCACTATTCGTTGGTAAAAGAGCAGCCCAAGAGTTGGCGGTGA